TATTGTTTGATAACCTGCACCTTCTTCTTATTGGATTATTGCCTATATGCAATTCATTTAAGTTTATCAATCATTAAAACTTTGTTTGATTCTCAAATTGCCAGCAATCCTCTCTTTTCTTAAAGCTACAATATTGATACTTTAAAGATTCTCGTTGCTTTACTATTGTAATTAAGGAATTCTACAAGCTGCAGTTGAGTTCCAATCCAAATAACCCAAGTAGCATAACAATGTCATTAGCCTAGGGGTTCACATACTTTTTCCACCTGCACTGTGAATGTTTACATGGTGTATTCAATAAAAACATGGCAACATTTAATTCTGTGTGTGTCATGAGTTTAAGCAGACTGTGCTTGTCTATTGTTGTGACTTAGATGATGATCAGATCACATTTTATGATCAATTTGTGCAGAAATCCATATCATTCCAAAGGGTTCACATACTTTTTCTTGCAACTGTATACAGTAAAATGATGGACAGCCGAAATCCAATTGAACAATCTTTATTCTTTAAAATAAGTAACACACGTCTCAAACGTATTCCGTCTCACCAGTCTCTCGGATAAAACATGCTAAAAAGTCCTCAGCAATACCACTAGCAGGCACTCTGGATTCCCGGGCTGTAGCGTTTGTACCGGTGGGCGGAGTTCGATGACGTCTTTCGTGTAGTGTAATAGCGTGCCAACGTGATGATGCGTTTCATCAACTTCTGGCTTCCTCAGATCACGTACTTCGGTCTGTGTCCATCAACATTTAAAGCCGTGCTGTGGGCGTGTCTCAGTCTAAAAGTCCGAATTTCAAGGCATATAATTGGTCAAGAAATAAAACCTTTCATGCATATATTAACTCCATGTTCTGGGTATATCTCTTTTCTTAAAGGGAACAGGAAGAAAATTATTACAAAAATGAAAACCGAAAATTAAAAATTAGTATAAGATAAAAGAGGTGGGGTGAAAAAGGGGGAGGGATAGATCCAAAAGTTATATCCATACAGAAATGCATAAATAAATTATTTCAAGAATATAGACATAAATAATTAATAAAATATATAAACAATTTATTTTACAAGTTATTATTATAGAAAATTCTCACAAAAAATTAAAAAGATTAAACTCTATATTTAATCCATAAGGAGCTATAGGTGCTATTCAATAAGCACGTTTTTAAAGCCACAAGTGAACTTTATGTTTTGGTTTGATTTCAGTTAGTCACCCTACATTTTAATGTTTTTCTGCCCTCTGGGTATTCAGGTACTCATTGGGCAAACATTGATCAGTATTTCGCTGTTTAGTAGATATGTCCAAGGGACAGCTTGCATACATTTAATTATGTAATTTTTATTGGGATATAATCTAAAACAGCTATCTAAACCTGCAGTTCTCTTGTCTCAGTTCTCTTGTCTTGTCTTGTCTTCTGCTTTCGCATTCCCTCCCTTTCTAACACCACCCAGACTTTCTTTGAACGGTCTACATGCATCAGGAACATCATTCAGTCATGTTCAGTTCAAGCATTAAAGTTTCATATCTGATGCTAATATTACTGATATATTCTACCATTATTCCAGCACTTCCTGTTATTTTCAACCCTAATCTTCCATGCCAGCTGTATATGCATATGTATTTATCATCCTCCTAAGCATTCCAGGTGTAGGTCTTTTTAATCTATGTCTTATATCTCCTGTCTTTTCCTATGTATTATGTAGGGCCATCAAAGCCACTAGCCTGTACAGCCACTGTGGCATTCTAGAAGCCTCTGTTCCCGTTTTGATTCTGTTTTCCAACAGCTGTGCGTATGTACTTTATGATGTTCTATAAGTGTTTATATACAGTTTCTGTTCTTTTTGCCATTTTATAAACTAGTTCATTATTTTTTTTTGTAAATCTCTTTTTATTGAGGTTTTCATAAACAAAAGTACAAAGAGGAAGGGCAGTTATACATATGGGACTCGCAGGTCCCCAGAAGTGAGTAGAGCAAGAGAAAAAAAAAAAGGGAAAAAATGAACAGAAGAAAACCCTATATGTAAAACACATGCAGTAGAGGTGAACGTGATGTGTTTAAGAGCCTTTATGTTCCTAGGCTAGTTGTAGCTCTCAGTTTTCCCAACAGTGAATAAGTCAGCTATCGTCCTGTCGCCCGCGGTCTCTTCTGTGATCTGAAAGGGGATGTAGCGTTCTGCCTCCTGACCAGCCGTGATTGTTCAGCTATAACTTGTATTATGTTTTTTTCCCGTACCTGGGCAGATGAGCTTTACCAAGCTCTATAGCATACGGCTCTTGTCCCTGTTCTCTAGTTGGAAGGCGCGGGTCTTTGGCAATCTAAGGGGTATGTATCAGTGTATGTTGGGGAACATTTGTGTTCAGGAAGGCTGTCCCGTTACAGGTAACTTTTGGTAGTGTGCTTCTACTTTTCTGGAGTCTGCTGACATATGTGATTACTTGTGTTGGTTGTGTGACTGTAGTGTGTGTATTGTGTCTCAGCATTCGATGGTGTGTCAGTGTGTGCGCACCCCTGTCACGTCCCACATGTTCCGCCTCGGGAATCCTCCCGCCTGTCTGGGTATGGTTGAGGTTTAAGGAGAACAACGGAGGGGGGTAGTTAAGGTGGGTGGTCTGCACTATGAAGGGGCTGCGCCCGTCCCCACCCCCGCCACGGGCCCAGAAGCCCCCCCCCCCGCCTGAGGGCGTCGAGCAATGTACATGAACCATGGGCTCCACATTTCTGCATGTTTGAGTTCCCTACCCGCCTCCGCGCTCTGTATGTCTTCCACCCGCTGTATCCACTCCGACTTTGTCGGTGTGGTAGTTTGTTTCCAATACGCCGGAATGGCTGCCTTAGCAGCGTTCAGCAGGTGCCGGAGAATTGACTTCTTATAGCTCCAAATCGTCTGCTGAGAGATGTGCAGGAGAGCCAGTTCGGCTGACCAGTCCGGCACATCTCCCAGCACGAGCGTCGTCTCCGTTTTCACCATGTCCCAGTACGGGAGTATGTCCCGGCACTCCCACCACAGGTGGATCAGCGTGCCTCTCTCCTCACGACATCTCCAGCATGTCGGAGGCACCGCCGGGAACATTTGATGGAGCACCACTTGCGTTCAGTACCAAAATGAGATCAGTTTGTATCCAACCTCCTGGTAGTAGGAGCTGATGGAGCTCTTATGTTGCCATATCAGTGCCTTATCCCATTGTGGTGTGGTGAATGTCTTATTCAGGGACTCCTCCCAATGCCTCTTGAAGGTGGCCATGGTTGGCCGATCGTTCGTTATTAGTTGTTGGTAGATTGTGGAGATGGCATGCTCTATGGAGGTGCCTCATTTGCACAAGTCTTCGAACCACGTCGATTCCCTGTGGAGACGTTCTCTGTGTGGCAGCTTCGTGTAGTAGTGTTTCAGCTGCAGGTATTGCAAGATAATCATGGGGGTCGGTGGTCTCCCCTCCAGATTCGGGTCAAGGCCCCGAAGTCCGTTGGCGCCCAGGACCCAGCGTATGGGTATGTAGTCCCCCTCCCCCAGGAAACTCCAGGCTCTGGCCGGCATGCCTCCCCCAATTCCTCTGTTAAGTGTCACCGGGAGGAGTGGGCTAGGCATGGGTGATATGTTTAGCTTTTCCCTTAACGATTTCCATCCCCGGAGTGTGTGTGTGACCGGCCCCTCCTCGGCTCCCCGCTCCCGAGGTCCCAGGTCCCCTCCCCAGATCATGCTTTCTATCCTACTTTCCGTAGCCTCCCTATCCAGCTGTACCCAAGGCTTTCGCGAGGGGTTCTGATGCCAGTCTAGAATGCGCTGGAGGACCGTGGCCTGGTAATATTTTCTAAAGTCCGGCAGAGCTAGTCCCCCACTAGACCTGGGCAGACAGAGAATGTCATGCCGCAATTCTGGAGCGCTCGCCTCGCCACGTAAAGCGGAGCACCGCCATTTTCAGGGAGGAGAAGGACGCCGGTAGTGTGATGGGTAATGTCTGTAGGAGATATAGCACCCTGGGTAGCACGTTTATTTTGAGCACTGCTATGCCCCCATGCCATGTTATGTGCGGGAGGGCCCACCTGGCCAAGTCCATTTTTATTGTATGCAGGAGGGGTTGGAAGTTGTTCTCATAAAGTCTCCCGGGGTCCGTGGTTACCCAGACGCCCAGGTACTTCATTTTGCCGTGGCACCATTTGAATGCGAATTTTGTGAAGTTAAGTTTAAATCCTGATATTGCACCATAGCGGTCAAATTCCGCCAACAAGTTCGGCAGAGTGGTTCGCGGGTGCGGGTGTGACAAAGAAAAGTAAATCGTCCGCGTACGCCACCACTTTATGAGTCGATCCCCCTCCGTCGTACCCCTGTATGTTCGGGTTCAAGCGGATCACCTGTAGAAGTGGCTCCAAGGACAGGGCAAATAACAGTGGGGAGAGGGGGCATCCCTGCCGAGTACCATTATGTATCGCAAAATCGGTTGTCTGGGCTCCGTTGACCCTCACAGAAGCTCGTGGTGTGCTATATAAAGCCGCTATCCACGTCCGAAGGGTCTGCCCCAGGCCCATCACCTCTAGTGTGGCCTGCATATACTGCCAATTGACCCGGTCGAACGCCTTCTCTGCGTCTGTCGACAGCAGCAGAAGGTGTTCCCCCCTCCTCCTCGCTACATGTTGGATGGAGAAGAGTCTTAGGGTACTATCCCGCGCTTCGCGCCCAGGGATTAAGCCCGTTTGGTCCGGATGAATCAGATGCGAAAGATAGGGTTGGATCCTTGTAGCAAGCACCTTCGCCAGCAGTTTGGTGTCAACGTTTATAAGGGAAATCGGACGATAGCTACCACAGCATTGTGGGTCCTTCCCAGGTTTTAGTAAAATGGTTATTGTTGCGGACAGGGATTCCCGTCCGAATCTGCCCCCCTCCGCCACTGCGTTAAGGGCGTTTGTGAGCCGCGGCAGGAGTCTCTCGGCGAACTTTTTATAGTAGCCGGTGGAGAAGCCGTCCGGACCTGGGGCCTTGCCGGTTTTAGATCTCTTCAGGGCGATGACCAGCTCCTCCATAGGTGCGTCCAGGGCCACTGCCGAGTTAGGGTCAATCCTTTCCATGACGGTGGCGTTTAGGTATTCGGTCCGCAGGGCCTGGTTGTGCTGCGATCGGTCCTGCCCCCCTGTGCGGCTGGAGGTTGTACAGGGATTGGTAAAAATGCCTAAATTCATCCGCTATGTCCTGAGGGAAGGGGGAGACCGCGCCCGATGTAAGGCGTAAGCTGCAGATTTGTGTACGTGGGCTGGTGACCTTCAGCAGTCGGGATAGATACTTACCCCCCCCCCTTGTTAGCGTGAGCGTAGAAGAAGCCTCTCGTGCTCTGTAGGGCGCGGAGGTGCCTCTTCACGATAAGGTCTCTCAATGCTCATCTAGCCTCCGTGAGCTCACCATAGGTTGCGTTAAGGTGGTGCCGTTTATGTTGTGACTCTAAAGTTGAGATGGTCTTGTAGAGTTTTGCCATTTCTCGAATGGCCGCCTTCTTTTTTTGAGATGCTATCTGTATGAGCGTACCACGTATTACGCTCTTGTGAGCTTCCTAGAGTGTTATGGAGGACGTTCCCTCCTTCTCATTTTCGCTGAAGTAAAGGTCCAGGGCCCGTTCAATTTGATCCCTAACAGTCGGGTCCAGAAGTAAAGCTTCATTCATTCACCATGTCCATATGGAAGGGCGAAACAGAGGTGACTCTATGGCTATCCAAACCGGGCTGTGGTCCGACCATGTTGCCGGTTCGATGGTCGCTTTGAGCAATCGGGAGGATCCCTCTTGTTTAATGAAGAGATAGTCAATACGTGCGTATCTATCGTGAAGCGCAGAGTAATGTGTGAAGTCTTTACCCGTTGGATTCAGGGCCCTCCAGCAATCGACCAGACCCAGGCTATTCAAGGAATTCCGAATGCATCGAATATTGCATTGGGGGATACAGCTATGACCTGAGGATGAGTCCAACGTCAGGTCCAGGGGGGCGTTAAAGTCCCCTCCCACCAACAGAGTACCCTCCGCGAAATCTCGCAGTTTGGTCAATGTTCCCTTCAAGAACGTGGCTTGATGTCTATTGGGGACATAGATTGTAGCAAATGTGTATATTTTATCTGCTATAATACCTTCCAGGAAAAGGTAACGCCCTTGCGTGTCCTGGTGCTTGTCTAGTTCTGTAAAGGCAAGATCTGCTGCGAGCAATATGGCCACACCAGATTTGCGAGCTGAAGGGTGGTTGCAGAAGTGGTTGTTCTGGTATGATTTGTTGCGCAGGGAAGGGGCCACCCCCTCCCTAAAATGTGTTTCCTGGAGCATCGCCACCGAGATGTGCTGTTTCTTCAGTTCTTTTAAGAGATGAGTTCTGCCCTCTGGAGCATTCAGACCCTTGCAATTGAGGGTGAGGATCGATATTGGTGCCCTACGGTACGCCATCTGTTATAGGTGGAGACCGGTAACTGTGCCCCTATGCCGTAAGTTCAGGCACGGGGAGCCCCAACCCCAGCGGCGAGAGAGCGACCCCGGGCCCCCGGCGCGGACGAAGGAGAGAGAAAGAGAGAGAGAGGGGAGAAAGAAGGAAGTAGGAAAAAAGAACTAGATCATTATTAGTAACTATCGGGTTCTCTACCAGCTCATCACCATAATGTCTTAGTTACAAACACAAACTCCACAACGATTCACATCCTACTTTCACCAGCATTAATCCCAACGCACAGCCACCCTGAAACTTGGGATACAAATCAGGATACACATATTTCCTACTCTTGGCATCACTATGCCTTTACAACGTGTGTTCATATGCCCTGTAATGGGCAACCTGCCACAGGCTAATTCGGTACCTCGTTTGGGCATTTCATTGAAAACGTTCATAGATTTTGGATTAAGAATATAATGTCTTGTTTTAGGTTCTGGGTAGTACGATATCATTATCGTTATGTTCCTCAATCTGATTATCATAATGCCACAAACAGGTATTACCTTCGATGTGGCATATTAGATGAGTTACGATAGATAATACACATTGATCCACACTGTCTATATTTACATATGCATTTCTGCACAGTCTACAGTTTTGCTTACAAACATATTTATGTGTCATGTCTAATTATATTTTGAGATTTCCCTAAATATGATTGCATGGTTTAACACTATGGTTTCTGTCTGCAGATATCTGGTCCTGTGACTTTCCAGAATGCCATGGGACCTGTACATGAAGGGTTTGGTGGTACTCATGAGGTCTTGATAACATCCATTTCCATATTTCTTATCAAATCATATTCTTTTACAGGTTATCAATTCGGAGCATAATTTGCTCTTCAGACCTTGCACCCATTTGTCAGTTACGGTTCTTTCTGTAGGTTATATACCTCTCCTTCCCCTCTCTGCCTCTTTTAGGGGATACTGCAGATTTTAGTTACAGGTTATAACCATACCATACAGAACTACACTAACTCTTATATGAATTCAGGTACATTTTTAGCCACAATGGCTCCCCCGCAATATAGACCTTTTTAATGAGTAGGTTTTACTGGCTTATAGGGATCTAGGTGACCAATAGATGTTAGGTTTCTGGCATCTCTGTCATCTCTTGTCCTGCTATCTGACTTTCTGTCTGAAAGTTTTTACACTAATAGGTGAATTAGGATGTAGATAAGTTGCGATGCCACACCTATCAGATATTGTGACAACATCATTATTATAATAATACATGTCATCTTTAAGTTGAGCCAGCCCTACCTCGTACTCATAGAAGTCGCCATGGCGGGCATGTTGCGGCGGATTTAATCAGTTTCTACTAACTGTATGTTTGTTCTTTCGGGGCGAATCTCACTACTATCATATTCAGCATTTCATTAATACGTAGCTTCACAACGATGCCTTCTTCAGCTTCCAGTATTAGGCCCCTTACTGGAACATATCGACTTCTATTATATGTCTTGGCTCCCTACATGGCTAAGTGTCGCTATTGACTAGATCAATCATGTCAAGCCCAATTTACACATATGGTTCACAAATATAATCGAACTTGTATATACATTCACTGTACTTACATTAACTACAACTCTTATGGGACTCATAAGCTAACAAAGGTTTACTTTGGTTTAGTTATACTAATTAGGGGTTGTCGGTTTGCTTCTCATTCACTTGTTAGCTTGAATTGTCCACCGTTATGGTCCTTGTAGATACTTTTCATTGTATATTCTTGTTGATACTAATACTAGTTACCTATGCTATTTTTGTTTTCTTCAGTATTGATACTTTTCCGGTTCTCAACCATTTCTACTCTATTATTTTCCCTATATAAGTTGGTTTTATCAGCTATGCTCTCCCTATATTAATCACTTATCTACGTTCATCACTTATCTGTCTCCGGGCTATCTAATTATTTTCAGGTAACAGGGGCTTATACATGTGACAGGTTCATGATTCACTTCCTTTCCAGAGTTTCTGCATTATTAGTATTTTGCTATATGCCTCAATGCTATTAGGTTATGGTTGACGTTAAATGCTGGTATTTTAATATTCATGCCACCTGGTTTAGTCTAAGTTGCTCGAGTTATACCTCAATTGTTTGCAAGGTATATTTTGGTTGTCAGTTACATGTTTACAACAATTTCCATAGCCCTCGTAGGGCTCACGTGTCTAGCAGAATCCGCTATTAAATGTACATTGTATTACTCCTCCAGGTTCTAAGGTATTTCAAGTTGTGCCCTTAGTGGTCTCCCAGCAATTGCTGTCACCAAGTCTCTCCATTACTATTCACGTCACAGGTAAGTGGTCCTTCATTACATAATGTTGGTTATTACGTCTCTGATTGAGTTTGCTACTTTTTTTGCCACCTTCAATTTAGGGTATCTCACTATACAATCAAGTTACGCCTGACATCACATGTTTCTCTACTTTCCAACAACGCCAGTTTCCTTTTTAATCCTATCCAATCAGACTATACTTAAGGGTATCCAAAAAATGTCTGATTTGCTAGATTCAGCCCCTTTCAAATCCCTCACTAACTCTGTTATTAAAACCACTATGTACCTGCCCTTTAATGGCTCCCTGAGGCCACGATAATTCACCATCAGTGGCCAACACAATATACAAGGTTGCCTTCAAGCTCCTACCTAATTAAACATCAAGATTATTACATACTGACTCTACCTGTGACCAAAACGATTCAACTGGGTCAACCCATCCACATTCCACACTATCCCATGAATAATATATGGTGCCCGGTGAAGGTTTTTAATTCCTACCTCCTCACCGTACCGAATATTGCATCTCTTCTGCTACTGTCACTTCACGGGGCTATCCTCACGCCCTCTAAGTTCATCTTATATGTACGGTTATTGTTTACAAGGCTCGGTATGAACACTAGCCATTATTCAGGACCCTCATTTAGGATAGGGGTCACATCTACGGCATCGAGCCAGGACGTTCCAGTCAATGTCATTAAAACTCTAGGTCCATGGAAGTCATCAGCATATACAATATACATACCCCAACTGGTACAGGAAATATGAAGGGCATTTGTTAAAATGTCATCTTAATGTACTTATGTTGTATTATGTTATTTACTCAATAAATGTATTTTGAACATGATATGTATTCCTTTTTGCCCATTTTATTTACTGGCCTACAGCATACGTTGGTTTTGGCACACCTCAACCGACTTTTTTTCCTATCACAGGTTTGCTAACAACAATCTTACTTCATATCATAATCAATGTTGTCCCGAACACACATTGGAAGGCTTGGCCTGAAGATCTTTTTTCTATGTTGCCACATGTATGCATGCCTGGATGATTCTGTCCAGGGTCGATACCTCTGTGGTGGGTGTGAGCGAGTGGCATTTCTGGAAACTCAGATTAGAGATGTGGAGAGGAAAATTGTAAGACTGAGGGAGATTGACAATCTTGAGAGGAGTCTGCTGCTCACTGAGCAGAGTTTAGTGGGGACAGGTAGTGGAGAGGGAGGAGATAAGACAGATGGGAACAGGCAGGTAGCTGGGTGACAGTGGGGCGAGGAAGCAGGGGGGGAGGGAAGAGAAAAGGTTTAGCTAGTCCTGATCTCGTGCAGCCTAACAGATTTGCCCGTTTGAGTGAAGATGTTGGGAGCATCAGCTCAGGAGTAGCTGTACTGCAGGAAGCTGCTAACAGCCGTGGAAACAGGCCCTCTAGTACGGGTGGGGTTGAGAGGGTAAGGAAGTCTAGACAGGTTGTGGTGGTAGGGGACTCTATTATTAAGAGAGTAGATATGGTAATCTGCCACTCTGATTGACTCAACCGGACAGTTTACTGTCTCCCGGGTGCTCGGGTCCGGCATGTTGCCGACAGAGTGGAGGGATTATTGGGAGGGGCTGGAGATGACCCAGCTGTCATGGTCCATATTGGTACCAATGACAAAGTCAAAGGAAAATGGAAGGTCCTAAAGAATGAGTTCAGGGAACTAGGAAGTAAGCTAAAGAAAAGGACCTCCAAGGTAATTTTTTCAGAAATATTACCTGTGCCGCGCGCTTCAGCAGAAAGGCATCGGGAGATTAGAGAGGTCAATGCGTGGCTAAAGTCTTGGTGCAGGAAAGAGGGTTTTGGGTTTTTAGAGCACTGGGCTGATTTTGCACTTGGGTACAACCTGTATAGTCATGATTATTGATGTCGCGAACCTGAAATTTTCGGTTCGCGAACGGCGAACGCGAACTTCCGCAAATGTTCGCGAACCGGCGAACCGCCCGAAACGCCATTGACTTCAATGGGGAGGCGAATTTTAAAACACACAGGGACTCTTTCTGGCCACAATAGGGATGGAAAGGTTGTTTCAAGGGGACTAACACCTGGACTGTGGCATGCCGGAGGGGGATCCATGGCAAAACTCCCATGGAAAATTACACAGTTGATACAGAGTCTGGTTTTAATCCATAAAGGGCAGAAATCACCTAACATTCCTAAATCACAATCAATATGGATTGACACCTGACATATGACATATTGACACCTTGACATATGGATTGACACCTGTCCTCAGAGCCCCTGATGCACACGGACACAGAGCAGAATAGAGACTGGTCCCCCTACATAGGGTCACTTGGCAGATATGGATTGACACCTGTCCTAAGGATCCCTGATACACACTGACACAGAGCAGAATAGGGACTGTTCCCCCTACATCGGGTCACTTGGCAGATATGGATTGACACCTTGTTACAAACTGCTATTTGTAACGGGCCCTTTAAATGGCAAATTGCCCTGTTTCCCTGGGTTGTGGAGAAGCCTCTTTGCCAGCCTCCTCCCGCATGACTATGGCCCCTGGGAGATTGTGAAAATGTATGCACTTTTATTTGGTGTGTATGGCCCTTTAAGACTGTCGGTGGGCATATTGGGGCTTATGGACTCTTTATGTGACTGGTGCTGGCCCTTTAAACACCTTTTTTGGGACATCAGGAA